ATGAAATCAACAGATTGATATGACACTCCCACATCAAATAAAGAACTACTTTGAGCCTATGGCAGGGAAGAACAGAAGGGGGGGCGGAGCTAGGCTATATGCTGGGATGAAGAAGGGCAGAGTGAGAGATGCCATGGATCTGCTGGAGACAGACACTGAGAATTTTACCCAGTAAGCCACTGCCATGTGGCGATATACAGATTAATAGAAATGGGTTAAATAAATATAAGAGTTAGCCAATAAGAAACTAGAGCTAATGTGTCAAGCAGTGATTTAATTAATATAGTTTCTGTGTGGTTATTTTGGGGCTAAGCTAGCCGGGCAGCCAGAATGAACAAGCAGGCCCTCCTCTTACAACATGTAAGCACAGGCATAATGTGCCACATATGCCATATGTACACATATGACATTCAACACACACAAATAACTTTTTATTTAAGATTTAGTTTATTTTATGTGTATGAGTGTTTTACCTGCATGTAAGTGTACTGTGTGCATGTTCGGTACTTAGTAGAGGCCAGGAGAAGGCACTGATTTTCCAGGAAAACAAGAGCTATAGACAGCTGTGAGCTACCATGAAGGTGCTGGGAACCAAACCTGAGTCCTTTGTAAGAGCAACCAGTGCTTTTAACGACTGAGCCATCTCTCTGGACCTAAATAAACATTCTGAAAACAAAGAAATAATCAAAGAAGGAATTCAGTATGGATTATAGCACCACTTTAATACTACTTTAGTAATTAAGCATGAATTAAAATTAGAGTGGGAAAGAAGGAACTAGATAAGCCCACAGAACTCAGAGAGTTTTTAGTATGTCAAATCAGAGTCTAACATTGCTGAGATTCAGGTGCTAATGGGTATTTAAGGAAGCAATTATGGATCCCAACTCATTCACACACACAGACACACACCCTCAGAGCCTCATCCATACTTTTGTAAAATTGGGGGAGGGCCTGAGGGAGAAATCATATATAAAAGAAACCAAATAATGTAGAGCCAGGCAGTTGTGCAACAAACAGAACTCAAACACCTGTAAAGGCCAAAGGCATCTGCAATCACATCTATTGCAAAATTGAAAAACTGCAAAACCAGTCATACTGCAGGCTTGAATAATGACATCAGATATATCCATTAAACTTGGCAAGAGGGTAAAACTGAATGAATGGTGTTATTGAGGCCCCTGTCCTCAACATTAGAGGAGATGATGGATCCTTTCTGGAATTTGGTGAAAGCTGTAGACCCCCCTCCCAGAGAAATTATAAGCTCACAAGATTCTACTTATAAAGTGTTTACAGGCTAACATCAATCTAAAAGTATTAACCCATGAACTCCAAGTTAAGAACCTTTGCTATATAGTAACTGTTTTTATCATATATGCCATGACTTTAAATTTTTGATAGTAAATCACATGTCTATTTATGATACATATATACTACATAGCAAACTGATAAATTATGTGCTTTATAAAACATATACAAAATATAAATTTAAGAGTCTTCAATTATAACAATCTACCAATTTTTAAACAATTACTTTACTCATTGAGTCATAAAAGCTATGTACCATTTCTAATAAATGCTATTATCAATTCCACTACTTTTTGACAGTACAAAAACTAAACATGTTTTTTTGTGTGTGTTTTTAGTCTTGCTTTCGTACTTTCTTTAATACTACAGCATGAGGCTCTAGCCCTAAATTCAGTACATTTTTATAATAAATAACTATTTTGCTTGGTTTTAATGGTTAGCACAGCTGAAAAACATACTTTGCAAAGATGAATAAAACCCCAAAGAAGAACTCCATTACTGGCTTCACTGAATAAAACATGATATTCAATTGCAATTCCACTCACCATTTATGCAAAGGCTTTTTGCTGAAAATCAGCTACTGCATTTCCATATTTCCTGATGGCAATCAGTTGTTCTTACAAGCTAATCAGATGAAATTACCTTTTTATATTTTCAGCAGATGGGCTCAAAACCACTAAAACGTCTCTTTTACAAGGTTTTTATACAGGTTAGAAAACTTTGTTCATGAATTCAAGGGTTCGTGTAAAAAGTTCTTCAAATTAACACTCATCATTACCAGCAATTAACCCCAATAGGCTAGAAATACTTCCAAACACCATCTTCAATATCCTCTCTCCACAGTACTGAACTCTATTTCCTTCCAAAGGGTAATTAGTTTTTGAGTCCCTGTTAAGAAAGTGCCACCGCCAAAAAGGAGCAGATTCAGTGTGCTTATTTGATGGACTGCATACCACATACAACCATGTATCACGGGAAATGTGATACAAAATCAGCAAACTGTATTTGTCTTTTTGTGGACAAAGTCATTATTAAGTTAGACAATTCTTAAATCTTTTGCTTTAAGGTAACCAGTCAATTTCTATGAACTACAGAGCTGCATAGTGATTCTCTACTGCAATTCAAAGTGGTGTCAGGAGTCTATCTACCACATCAAATAATAAATCTAAGATTCTCTTTACACAAGCTCCCTAAACTGCACATAATCACAAAAGACTAAAAGTGAAAGAACTTGTTCACATCCCAAACAATCTGCTGCAGATCTGATTTTAGAGACACTGTGCCTTACAACTTACACCTGGACAACTGTCTTTAAAGGTACTCCAACTACATTGAAATCATACCTTAAAAAAATACCAATTTGGCAAAAGACACAAAGCACAGCACATTCTGTGAGCACAGCTGTCTTCAACACCATTCTCTCAACGTACACCTGGCTAAGGGCATCAACTGATCAACTGAGTATACAGAGCTGTAACAAGGTCCAAGCCTCTTATTTCAAACTACATGTATTTATGTATGTGTGTGTGTTTGTCCATGTCACAGTATCAAGTGGAGGTCAGAAGATAATTTGGGGGAGTTGGTTCTCTTCTTCTACCGTGTGGGTCCCAGGGACTGAACTCAGGTTTGACAGCAAGCATATCTACTTACTGAATCATCTCAACCATCCAAGATGGCCTCTGAATGCACCAAGGTTCTAAAACTTAATGATATATCCTAACCCTTAAATCCTTTTTGGAACATAGTAGGGTATAAATCATGAAATATTGAGAGTTGGGAGTTTCCCACTTGTATGACCAATATCACTTATACAGTCAGGTGTCTTTATATAAGGAAAGATCATTTTTGAATTAAAAAAAAAACACTACTGCACAAGTTTAAAAGTGTCAAATGAAGCCAGTGTGTTACGTAGCACAAACCTTTAGTCCTAGCTCTCAGGAGGCAGAGACATCAGAATCTCTTGAGTTCAAGCCAGCTTGGTCTACAAAGTTAAGTTCCAGGCCAGTCAGGACTCTGTCTCAAAACACTAAAATAAAAAGATAGATAGATAGATAGATAGATAGATAGATAGATAGATAGATAGATAGATAGAAAAAATGAAAGGAAAAGAAAAAAGAAAAGAGAAGACCAGTAAACTAAGGGCTGGAGATCAGATCATTGGTTAAGAACACTGAGTTGTCTTCCAGAGGAACCCTAGTTCAATTCCCAGCACCCACATAGCAGGTAAAAACTATCGGTAACTCCATTTCCAACCCCCTTCTAGCCTTTGAGTGCCCCAGGAACGCATGTTTTGGGTGGCTGCACACAGACATACATGCAGGCAAAATGCCCACAACACAAAAAAAATAATAATTTTTAAAATGTGAAATGATAATGCATAACCTGGAAGAATAGCTACTGCTTTAAAAAAGATAAACAATTTAAGGTAGTATGAAGATTTTATTCTAACTCCTAGTCAAAAACCACATGATCCATTTTTTATTATACAAAAATTAGTGAATAAGTTCCCAGCGTGATAAGCCTTACATATGGAATCATTTCAAAAATTATGAAAATATAAAATTTGGGGAATAAAAACGTGCCAAGAAAAGATCCACATAAATTCAGAAAGTTGACATTTCTCATTCTCACCCAGATCTTACTTACTACATACTGTTCCCACTATCTCCTCCCATTGAAAGCCATTCAGCATCACAAGACTTGATGTCTACTTCCTGCTCCCACACAGGTTGACACAGTTCCCTTCATCACATCCTATCAAACCCAAGCTCTCCTGCCCTTGCTTCTCTTCCACCCAATCTTTGTGAATACAATGCTCTCTTCCTCCCATCCTCACAGAAATCAGGTCCGGGTTTCAGTGCTCATTCACCACCAAGTCCACCATTAAATCTGCCTTGAACTGCTCTCTCTTCCTGGACCCCCCAGTCCACTACTGTCCCAGCAAGCTTCTCCCAGCACTCATCACATTTAATTACTATTACAGGTATTTGTGTTGTCTTATCACCTCTCTTAGGTCATAATCACCTTAAGAATAGAATCTGTATCTTATCGTTTCACTTCCTTATCTTTTAACAGCACAGCACCTTGAACAATGTACTCGTGTAACTATAGCTTCAGTGGATAGCCAAGTAGCTACTCAGAATCAATTACAGACTTCCTGAACCATCTAAGGTAGAAAAGGAGTATAACTGGAAATTTGTAGAACAAATAACTTTTCCCTGATTTCCTCCAATCAAACTTGCCAAAGTAAAGTCAATATTATACATTACAAAAACCAAGGACATTTTATCCTTCAACTATCTGATCAAATAGTGTGATATATTTAAATATATATACACAAACAATGAAATCTATGATTGATAATAGAAACATATAAATATTTCAACCGTATAGGCAAACCAAAATTTTAAGATACAGTATATTAACATGGTCAGAGTGACCATTCAAAACACACTGCAAACACAAATAATGATCAGTTTATTTCAAATGAAAGAAAATACCTTAAGCTTTACTTAAACACTATCAAAACTTAAGAGGAGGCAGAATTTTATTGCTAAGATTCCAAAATCAGCCACTCAAAGATAAGCTTCCCTGGACAGAAGCACAAAAGAATCAACATTACTAAAGTACAAAGGTGAGACCAAAAGCACAAGAATCTTAAAGCGACACTTTCATTAAGTGCCTGCTGTCTGCAGGATTACCAGAAAGAAAGCAAGCTGCAGGAGTCTCTACAGCATCTATATGGAACCCAAGGGAAATCCAGAAAGAGGGATACAGAGTGTGGCAAGTACTCTTGGGTAGATGCCAGCTTAAAGGTATGAATATGACTTCTAGTTGGCTGTCCTAGGATCAAATGCCATTCTTAGCACCCACAAGCTGTGTGATCTTACACCAGCCACTCAACTTCCCCGAACCTTATTTCCTCGTTTATAAAATGTAGTTTGTAGAGCTAGCATAATACCTGGCTTAGAGACAATACTCAATAAATATTTGCTGATTCTGAATGAGCAATACAAGAAAAGCAAGTATTCCTCTCCAAATATTTTTTTTTAAATCTTTGAGGGGAAATGGTGTTAATTACTTCCTGGTTAAAATTAATTTGACTCTCAATATTTGTGAGAGACTGAATCCAGAAACCTGTGGAGATACCAAAATCCATGTTCAAGTGCCATCTATAAACGGCACAATGCTTCCATGTATCCTCTACTCTTAACCCTATTCTCTTTAAAGCACTACTAGATTACTTATAGAACCCTATACTATATCAAGGCTTTTAAATTTGATCATACTGTATTATTTAGGGAATAATGGCAAGAAAATCTGCACATAGTCAATACAGAAACAATTTTTTTTCATTTTCCCTCTTCACCCCCACCAGTAATGGGGAGTGGACATAGGTCCCATGTAAGCTAGACAAGCACTCTGCCACTAAGCCCTTTTGAATATTCTCTATAAATGGCTGGCTGGTACAAGAATAACAGTGGGCAAACTATATTCCTTCCTCCCTTACCTCATAGATTACTTCAAAGTTTACTAGAATTCCTAAAATTCTAAATCTCAGTAGCCAAAAGCTGGGGCCTGGACTTAGTCATCTCCTCTATAATATTAAGGAGGTTATTCTAAATAACCCATAAGTATCTTCTACTCTGAGTCCTGTGGTTCATTCAATCTCAAGGATTTACCAGAGCAATTAAGAGGGAATGAAGGAGGTGGAGAGTCAGGGAAAGAAAGGATGGAGTGTATAAAACAGTCACTGAGGCCAAGGGAGTGGAAATCAACTGCAGAATATACCGGCTTTGGCACTGTTTCTGAAGATCATGAGAACATAAAAGAAAAGGAAAACATGAAACACAGAAGCTCAGAAGCAAGATGCCTCTGGATGACTATGTTTAAAATCAGGTCTTTCTATAACCTTGAACCAGACTCTGGAAGAGTCTAACACTGTCTTCACTCATGCAGCATGTACACAGTTATAAAGCATTTCTGCATGCTGTCTACAGCAAATTTTCTGGAATGGGAAGTAAGAGACTCCATTTAAATGTCTTAGAGCTTGATAAATTTGTAGAATCTTCACTAAAAACATCAAATGACATTTAGAAAGGTTTTTTTTCTTTCAGTAGCTATGTGTAGAATAAATTAGAGAAGCAAATGCATGCAGGCAAACAGCTCTAAATCTGCAGATTAGAACTGTAGCACAAAAGAAAAAGTGAAATCTGACCAACAGTTCACTCGGACCCTCACAGTGACTCCTATTACTCCACATCCAAACGACCAGGGACCAAATTATTCAACAAGAAAAAAAAGGAGAATAGTCAAAAAAAAAAAAAAAGGAGGAAAAAAAGAATCAGACATGGTGATGGTTAGGAGTGGAATGTCCATTTGCCAGCTAGCGTTAATGCTTTACTACCTGCCAGATCATTGCTGAACAATGCTACGGAGCTTAATTTTTAAAAGCACAATGATATAAGTACATTTTTCCATTTTAAATATGAAAACCTAGGGTTTAATTTAATTAGATACCTAAGGGTACATGAACTAGGAATCTGGAAGAGCCATGAGCCAACCCCGCCTCTGACTAGAGTCAAAGTTCGACTTCTAAAACAACCTTTAAAATTGTCTCAAAGTTACAAACCAATGGGTGAAAAGCTACACACACACACACACACACACACACACACACAAGGATTAAAAATAAAGCAGCAGGGCTTTTGGTGAGAAATTTTGGTGGGTAAAGGTACTTGCTGAAAAGGCTGATGACCTGGGTTCAATCTCTGAGACTCACATGGTAGGACAGAACTGACTCCCAAAAGTTGTCCTCTGACTTAAAACACGTTTGCCACAGCATAAATGTGACCACACACACACACACACACACACACACACGAAAATAAATAAATATTTTTGAAGGCATCACTGTGGGAACATTGGATAATCTGCCGTTAATAGGATTCTGACTCTGCTGGTGGGATTACACCTCTATTCTTGCACCTGTTTTTATCAGTTTGATCTCTGTTCCTAGCAGCAGGACTCAAGGCCACTCAATAATATCAAAACCCCCTCTTCCTCACAGAAATATGGTATGTGGGGGCAACAGGGCAGATTATAACTAAGGTAGGCATAACTAGACTGATTAATTTCAAGTCTTCTTCCCAAACACTTTACAGAATGACCGCGTCTATTTTGGTATAAGCCACTTATCATTAAATATGACGAGTACACTAAGAAAGACTGTCACTTCAAAGACTCTCGGAAGTACTGTTCTGTGAGCTGAGCACACTGATACACCTCTATAATACCAATACTACAAGGCTGAGGCAGGAGGATTCAAAGTTTGAAACTAGTCTCAGCAACTCAGTACAAATGCCTCAGTCAAGATGAGAAAGAATTGGGGGCTCAGCCGAGTGGAAGATGGTTTGCCTAGCATTGAGAAAATCCTGGGTTCACCACTTCTTATCACAAAATAAATAAAAAATAAAAACACTCTGCCATGGGTGGGTTCAGGGAGGAAACAGAGATGCCACCTCCTTTACTCGCACTAGCAGAACAGATTTACACACTGACATCAGTGTTTAATAATGGCTTCCTGTATTACGCTATATGTCCAGTGATAGTTAAGATAATTATTTCTATGCTCTATAGTAACTCAAATACCACACACCCACACACCATTTCCAAAACTATACTAGGTTATGGGGGGAAAAAGTTGTATATCCTTAAACTAAGTAACTAATAATAGTACCCAGCTGGCACGAGGCCGGTTTATGACCCAACATCATATAATAAGGAATAGGCACACAGTCTAACTAAAAATGCCTCAACATCACTTCCAAGAGTAAGAAAAAAAATCAGAGATCACAAGACCTATCCTCAATGGTCAGTGAGAAAAGGGTGACTGATTGGTTAACGTGACAGAAGCAATAAAGAACTTCATTCCTATGGTCTAGTCTATACGAATGAGGAGCATTATAAAAGTAGAGGCAATTCTGTACAGTTCTGTAACCCAGACCTGGTTCAGGGCTCTGTTGTCCGACTCCTGAAACGAGTATTTTATCCGATCGCATGCCCATCTCAGCAGCTAGCATTTGCAGGGAATGTAGAAAAGCACCCACCACAAGGACTGTGGACCTCTGCCAGAAAAGTGATAGCTGGCCCCTGAGAATGACTGTGTTATCAATGCCAAGACAATAATAAGCATCCTAGGGATCTCCCCTACCCATCACTTAGAGATTCTACTGAGTCTTATGTGCGCAGGCTGACCTTCCACACTCGTCCTGAAACCTAAGATGGCCACAGCTTAAGCTCTGGAAAACACGCAACACAACATCCAACAACTGGACTCCTTAAAAATTCTGGAGCAAACGGAAACAAGAACAGAGGCAGGGTTGCCCCAAGAAAAGGCGTGCGAAACTGATGACAACTGAGCAAGGAGAGCTAAATGTCCTTGGGAAACTATTAGAACTGCAACCCGGAATACAATCTGACTGGAGAAAGGGTTTTTCCAGGGATGCCCGACATCGTCTCTCTCCCACTCCGCCTTTCAGCAGCACCTCTCCAGCACCCTCAGCACTCACTCAACGTTTAGTCCTGGTGACGATGGCTCTCAGGATTAGCAGGATCAGGAGGACATGCAGAGAACATTCCATCCTGGGAACAGCATAGTTAAGTTATTTAGACTTGTTTACCATCCTTCCCTATAGAGTTAGAAGCATGAAATTTTGCCAGCATTTTCACAGTATACACCAGTCAGCACCATAGCAACCTAATCCTCTGCCCACCAAAAGATCAACACATCTGCAGAAAACGAGAAATTTAGCAAAAATACAGAGTGGCCCTGGACTCCTGAAGCAGTCAACCAAATGTCTTCATCTTTACATAGCACCTACTTCATGGTGCCCTCACAGCTTCCTGGCACAAGCAAGTTCTTGGGATTATACAAACTGCTGCTTCTGTTTCCAGCCCAGATTTCTAGAAATGAAATCCTGGAATTGAGGGAGAAATGAAAACAAATGTTGGCAGAAAGAAGGAGAAAAATGCATTGTCTATATAACCCCAGTTTAAGTGAACAACCATCATTAATTCCATAGAGTTTTTCTTTTTTTCTTTCAGTAAAACCGCTTACCCAAAATTGTAGCTCTAAAAACATTCCCTTGGCTAAAACCACACATAAAAAAGCAATTTTATAGACATAGTCCTATAAATTTTCTCAGAAATAAGGAAGAGATTTACTGTAAATTATGTAAAAATTCAAGCTTAGCATCTATAAACCAAAGTTCAGTGTGGATTAAATATGTATAATAGATTAACATAAAATGTCTGCAAAAATCAAACCAAATACCAATGCTTACAAGTTACGGGCCGCTCTCTCTCCTCTCCAAACTCCTGAAGTCTGAATAAGAAATGGAGAGAAAACCTTGCCAACTTCAGGTCACAGAAGCAACTCGGACCTTTCTGCAAAGCACGGGAGGAGAAGTAGAAGCACTTCCACTTTACCTACTTTACTACAAATTAACTCGGGAATGCCCATTTATGAAACTGAATCAAATCCCACGGCTACCTTTAACCCAAAACTATTTCTAGCTCGAGAGCCAAAGACCCAGGCAAATACGCAAATCCTTTCTTTTCACCTTATTCCCAACGTGAAGAAATCCGACCCCTTCCTACTACATCATAGCTTCTGTGAAGCTGGAGGAGAGGCCCCTTTGGCCAACTTTTTTTGTTTTTTCTCCAAGACTAACCTCCAACCAATTCCAGAAGAGGAAGCAAATCTCAAACCAATTTAACCCTTGAATTCCACTCCTAGAATATCTACAAAATAACCTAGGCTTCACTGCAGCCCTGTCTTGCAGACACTTAAAACGATTTCTTCATGGTTGAAGTGGAAGCATCACGCCTCACAAATCATCACCAGAGATTCCTTTTGTCAGTCACACAGGGTGCCGGGGCTGCAATTCACCCACGAACTCCTGACCGGCCAACATAATCCTTCACATGAAAAACTTAATGTTTCAAAAGACAAAAGGGGGGGGTCACCTTTTCCACAAGGACACCTGCCTTGCCTCTAGAGTGTCTCTATAAGGAACGACGACAGCCGAGCCAGAGAGGTTAACAGATAACTCCCCAGCTTAAAGTTTTCCTCCCTATCAAACTCTGGCCACAGCACCTCGGCTAGTCACACATGGGTGTATTGTCAATCCCTCTGCCTCCCTCTATCATTGTCAGACTAGAGGGTGTCTGGCCCATAGGAGTGACTGATTTTAAAAAAAAAAAAAAATGCATATACAAATAAAATAAAATCGAGTCACCGCAGAGGAGTGGTAAGGACTGGGGACCCCGGTGTCCAGTTTCTCGGAGTCTCTTCCAAGCGACTATGGAGAGCTCAAGTTCCATCACTGACCACTAACCAGATCTACCCCCAATCGTTTGGCTAACGTGTGTTCGTTCCCCTTCTAGGTCCTTTCGGCAGAACCCTGCAAGGGGACCAAATCCCAGCCTCGAGAAGAAAATTTCCTTTATCCGCCCATTCCTACCTCAGAAGCCCTAGTTCCAGGGGGAGAAAGGCAAGTGCAGCCGCGCCAGGCAAAGGGGCCGTCGAAAGCTGCACGCGCAGAAAGGCATGCCTAGGTCGCCCCCATTTCTCTGTCCCGGGGCGAACAAGACTCAGAGAGGCTGACGGGCTGGCCAAGGTCACCGTGCTTGCTGGTCGGGGCCGAGGGGCGCCCGCGCCTACTTCCGGCTCCCCCTTTCGGCGGCGGCTCGGGGCGCCCGCTCCCCACCCGGCCCGCGGCCGCGCGCCCTCCGCGGATGCTCGCACTCCGCTAACTAGGGCAACTGGAGTGCGCCGCAGGGACGGCGCTCTGCAGCGCGTCGCCCGCCCGCCAGCCCGCCCGGGAGCAGCCCCCAGCTGGTGCCGTGACAGCTGCGACCTCCGCCCCCTGCAGCCGCGCCAGGCCAGCAGGGGAACTCGGGGAAAAGTGGCAGCGGGAGATGGGTCCCAGAGAAAGGAGAGCCCGGGCGGAGGGCGCCAGCTGCTCCCCGCCCCCTAGGGCCGCCGCGGCCGCGCGGCTCGTGACAGCTGCACCCACCGCGAGGCTCCCGCCGCCGCCACCGCCGCCGCCACTGCCACTCACCTGCCTCCGCCGCCGCCTTAGGGCCGTGCTCCCTGGCGCCGCGCTCGCTCGCGACTGTGGCGGCGCCGCCGTGGACTCCGCCGCTCCTCCGGCCGGGCACCCGTCCCCGGGGCCCAGGCGGCCCGCCCGCCGCCGCAGCGGCTCTCCGGCCCCCTCCTCCGGAGCAGGAGTCCCCCCCTACTTCAGGGGGATGCAGAACCACCCCGGCGCAGGCTGTGCCTGAGGGAACGGCGGCGAACTGCAACCGAGGCGCTTGAGGCCGCGCTCTAACCGACGGACGACAGGACGAGGTGAATCGCGTCAGTCTCCCGCTCGCCCGGCCTGAAGAACAGGCATTTCAGCCGCTCTCCGCGGCCGCCATGTTCTCCTCCTCCACGGCCGCCGCCGCCGCCGCCGCCCCCCGCTCGCGGCCCCGCCCCCCGGGCCCCGCCCGCAGCGCCCCGCCCTCGCGCCCCGCCCCACCCACTCGCGGCCCCGCCCTCGCCCCTGCCCCCTCTGCGGGCCCGGCCCGAGCCCCGCTGCCCTGCGGCTCCGACGGCGCGCCCCGGGCAGCGCGACCCCACTGGCCCCGCTCAGCGTGGAGCCGCCCCGCGCCCTCTACCGGCTGCAGGCGCACCGGGGCCGGTGTCCTAAGGAAGTGTGAGAAAGGAGGCCCGAACTCTTCCCCGCAGGGACACCTCCCCTCGGGGCGGTCCTCTGTCCGCTGCCTGGAAGCCTCGAACCCCAGGGTGCCGCCAGGCGGGCCGCAGGACCTGCACCCTCTCGCTGTTCTTTATCGTTTCGGGAAGGTTGGGGAGCGATCAGGAGGAGTCTGACCTGGGCCTGTCTCCACTCGTGGGTTGTAATACTTTTGAGTGAGAGATATCCCTCGCGCCTCGTTTTTTGTTTTGTTTGTTTGTTTGTTTTTCTGTAAAATTGAGAGGTGGTTTGCTTAGATGATTTCTTAGATTATTAGACAAGGGTAAAGAAAAATTTTTTTTCATATGTAAAGATCTGACTGACACTGTCTGGGTCTGCAGTTCCCTGAATTGACTAAAATGCCTGTCTGTCATCCACAAATCTTACCTCTCGAGGGGACCCACATCTTTCGTCTTTTCTACCTCCCTATCTTACTCTACAATGGAAGTGCTACATTCAAAAGTAGTGTACCTTGTCATCAGAGGAATCAAGCAACCACAGAACAGGTCCTTGAGCCTTGATCCCTATCTGGAAAGCAACCCCTATCCCAAGCCTGGCAATCAATGTAACTCTTCTCTCTCCCTGGCGGCGGAAGGGCTGCTTAAAAGGGGCGCTATCCTTCGCTGCTTTCCAGAGTTCTTGTCCTCATTTAGTGGGGTCTTTACCTACTAAGCTACCGTCTTCTGCTGTTCCTCATCCTGCATTTGACGCCTCAAAGCAGCCTGTGTAAAGCCTTAAGTCCTCCGTCCCTTCTCCTGACTCAAACCTGACAGCATTTAAACACCCCTACCTCCCTGGCACCTCTGAGACAGCCTGTGATGGCTTACATAAAGCAGGCACCGCCATCCAACTACTGTTCAGTGCCATACCCTGCCTCCTGGTCATGCTCATAAAAAAAAAAAAAAAAAAAAAAACCTAGACCACACTCTGCCTTCATTTATGCAGTCATCCTTCTAGCATGCATTCGGTTGATTCTTATCAAAGACAAGCATGTTTGACTAGCTCTTGCCCTCACCTCTAGCCACTGCACAGTCCATATTCTCAGTAGTTGCTGAAATGCCTGAAGATCTCCATCAGTTTTGTCTTCTTCTATGGGGCCTGTTTCCTGGTCTAGTACAATCCAGACTGTACAAAGTGCCTTGTCCTGGCCTCTGATGCTTACCTACGAGCCAAGTGTATGCAATACCCCAGTCTCCACTGTACTCCAGTAACTGCTGGCAGGGAGATGCCGTGAATAGATCAGCCTGTTCTTTTATTCTTCTGGTTGCTTCTAGCCGCTCCTTTTTCTGTCCTCCCTTCCTCCTGTCTTGCTCATCATCCTTCTTTCCACCTGTTCTCTGAACTTTGATCCTCTAGCACTTTTCTTGTCTTCTCCTGTGTGTGTGGTGGGGGCATGTATTGTTCATGTGGGTGTGTGCACGTGTATGCCGACATCTGGTATGTTTCTCTAGAGTGCTGCTTCACCTTAAGTTTTCTTATTTTAAATTACGTGTGTGTGTGTGTGTTTGTGTGTGTGTGTGTTGTAGCTAGGACGCATGCTCATGCATATGCGTGTGGAGGGTTGGGGACAACTTGCTGGAGCTGGTTCTCTCCCTTCCACCGTGTTTGTTTGCCCCAGAGATCAAACTGAGATCCACCAAGTTTGGTTGACAGCAAGCTCTTGTAGGTCCACCTTATTTTTTGAGGATATTTTCCATTGAACCTGGAACTCACCAGTTGGCTAGACTGGCTCCCCATGGAGTTCTGAAAACTGACCAGTTTGTGCCTCCAACCTTCAATCTGACAGAGGTGGGGTTACAGATTGAAATCAGCTTTTAGATGGGTCCTGGAGATTCGAACTCAGGTCCTTGTGTTGCTTAAGTGTTAGGCTTTGGTGGTGGTGGTAGTGATGGTTTGTTTTTTGTAGCTTTGGTGCTTGTCCTGGAACAGACCAATCAACTTTGAGATTTGAGAGAAGGGGGAAAGGAAAAACCAGGCTGGCCTTGAGCTCACTGCTGCTTGGGAGCTGGGACTAAAGGCCACAACCTCCCCCCCCCACACACACACACCTGCCCATCTCTCACCCCACCCCTGGGCTATGTGTTAGGCATTTTATCCACCTTCCCAACCCCTTGCTGTTCCTTTTGTTTTGGTTTGTTTTAAGAGATAGGGTTTCTCTGAACAGCCCTGGCTATCCTGGAACTTGATCTGTAGATCAGGTTGGCCTCAAGCTCACAGAGATTCACCTGCTCTGCTCCAACCACAACCAGGTAGCTGCTGTTCATATATATATATATATATATATATATATATATATATATATATATATAACACATATATTACATATATACATATATATATTACATAATGGCATAAAATGTTGCAAATCTCAGTGTCTTCAATTTTTAAACTGTTTTTCCTTCCCCTTCTCTCATGTAAGTTGGTTTGGTTTGTGTCTCAGGCTGGAGCAAAGACACAGTGGTTAAGAGCATTGGTTGCTCTTCCAAAGGACCCAGGTTCAATTCTCAGCACCCATATGATAGCTCACAGCTGTCTATAACTCCATTCCCAGGGTATCTGACACCCTCTTCTGGCCTCTTTGGGCACTAGGCACAAATATGGTACACAGACATAGATGCAGGCAAAACATCTGCATATTTTAATTTGCATAAAGTAAATTAAAATTTTAAAATTTATATCTTTAAGTCATTTTCAGGCTACTCAGCCTTGAGATTTTGTTTTGTTTTGTTTTGCAGTTATTTTCTTGTTTATTTAGACATTACCTTGCTACATAGCACAGACTGCTCTCAAAGTCTGACTCCTCTGGCCTCTGCCTCACAAGTTCTAGAAATACAAGTGTGTGCCACCTTGTCCAACAAATGCTGAGATTTTGCTGAATTATGAATGTAACGTAAGTGGTATTTATATTGCTATAGTTATACATGGGTGCTAAAGACATATCTTTCCCTCGTGTGAAATCACTAAGCATGCCCCCTGACTTCGCCCCTTCATTATCACTTGCTAACAGTTATGTCATTCTCTGGTCTCTTATGAATGTTTGCCTTTTCTCTTGTTCAAATCAGCTTCTCTCTGGCTCCATCTGCTCTCACCAAGGGGGCTTACTTCCAAAATAACAAGGACTGGAGAGATGGTTGAATAGAACATTGCCCCCCTCCTCAAAAAAACTAAACAAAACAAAAACTGTGCCTGTAGCTTCAGTACTGGGGAACAGAGATCAGCAGATCTCAGGAGCTTGCTGACTGACCAGTCTAAACAAAATGGTGAACTTTGTGGATCACTGAGAGACCTGTCTCAAGGCAATAAGACAGTCATAGAGGAAAACACCTGACTCTTGTTCTGGCCTCCATACTGCACACACAGGCATGCCTGCATGCTTAAATCTACGAGTACACCACACACGAAAGTAAACAAATGAAATAAAGGAAAAAAATGGTGAGCCAAATAAAATTATAGTGAATATCTTTCCACATATTTTGCATACTTAAGTGTATTTACACATATAAATGCGGTATATCTATTCAATTTTGTTGTGGTGATTTTGCATGTCCTGCTCCCCCCCCCCCCCCCCCCCCCCCCCCCCCCCGCCACATCCTGGGAATGGAGCCAGAACCTCATGCATATAAGGCAAGCAATATACCAACTGAGCAAGATCCTCCACTCTTATTATTCAATTTTATGTACAAAAATAAAATCACACTATAAATGTTTATTGGTGCTCTGGTATCTTTTGCTGCACAATATAATTTCATCATTAATGGTTGGATGGAATGCATTTACACAATGTTACAAAAGTTTGTTTACAATGTTTCAAGGTTTTGTGTGCTTATTTTTTTAATAAAATTCTATAATTATGTGCCTCTATACAGTTCGGAAATTATTTTCTTAAATTCATAGGTTGATTGCTAAATTAAAAATGTTCATTATATGCCAAACTGACCTCCAGAAAAATGATCCCAAACTATGATTCTATAGTACATAGTACATGAGCATTCTACTTCCCCACAGGTTACCTGCTCTGGATTTCATCTATTTTATATCAGATGATCTTTAATTTCAACCTTGGATTGAAGTAGATGTGTTAAAAAGAGTAGGTTTAGAAATAGGTGTGGCAGCTGACACCTGTAATCTATCACTTGAGAGGCTGACACAGGATGGCTATTCATAGCAAATTTTAGGCCAGCCTGAGCTACAAGGTGAGACCCTGTCTGAAAAAAAACAAACAAAATGAAGGGGAAAATGTTTTAAAGAAAAGGAAGAGGAGAAACAGGAGGACGAAGGAAGGATGAACAGCTCTGGTTAAAGCTGGACAGATCCAGATTTGAGATGGCCATGGCGGTCACTAGTTTGTGACGTTGGAGTAACCATTTCAGCATCTCCGAGCCTCGTTGTCCCATCAGTAAAATAGGAGGCTAGCTCTCACTTCAAAGGCTGTTGTGAAGATTAAATGAAATATCTGACAGATACTTCATACAGTGTTTGGCATTTAGGATTGCCATGGGAAAGTAAAATTTAGCTCCAACAGAGAAGGTGAAAGTCTACCCAGCT